TATCTGGGTCACATGGTGGGATTGCTTGGGATGTTGGTGATGTTGAAATATCAAACTCCCCACAACATTGTTATATACTTTGTTACCTCCTTCCCGTGGATCATTGGGGTCGAAGAACTACATGATATGAAATAAAAATACGTTTAATACAGCTGTATTACAACAATTGTAAGCAAAATATATCAATCACATATCATAGATGACTGTATTTTATAGATTAAATTTAGGTATAATACAGTATGACAGGATTTTTATATTTCTATTTTATATATAAAATCATCAATACCTTAAAAACACAACTAGAGTGAATTTATTCCAGTGCAGGACTACCGCAATCAGCAAACAATTTCATCATTTTTTATCCCGTTAACCACAGCTGGACAGGGGCGGATCTAGGATTTTTCATACCTCAGTCAAAAATTTTTGGCGGACGGGGCGTTGTCAGCGCTGGGCGTGGTCTCGACTGGGCGTGAAAAAGTATTTAGATTAAAATTAAATTGATAAACTCAAACGAACATTTGATTCTTATCCATTGTAAGAAAAACTACAAATGCACAAAGATATATTGATCCTATTCCAATACAAAATTTTATGGATATATTACTATGATATAGTACATTAAAACTCAGTAGCAATTTAATAACATGTTTGCCTGTGGATTAATCAATCGTCATCATATTGATACTATACCTATAAGTGTATCATTGTAAAACGTGTAAAATCATATGGCAGCAAATGCATTAAGGAAATATACTGTTCTGTTACCAAAAACGCAGAACTATACAAATAATTGCTAGTAGCCTCAGATTAAAAAAAAACAACCAGATATTCATTAACTAAGTCAAACACTATTACATTAACAAGATATAAAGATGTTATGTCAAATATTAATAAACTAGTTACATGAGAATGGCTACCAGTCAATGAACTTTTCAAGCTAGCTTATTAAATATTTCACATCATCATGTTACACCAGACCAATGCGGTCTAACCATAGGAGTCTAACAAGCCGTGTCGATAGGCTATGGGCAAACAGTATTCTATAAGGCCGACATATTGTGTGATCGATGCATAAATATAAATAAATCTTAAATAAAACTTCACTATAAACACGAGAATCAACAAATGCTTACAATGTGGACATTGAATAAAACATATTTTAGCTTCTTGACGCGAGAATTATGCTAATACAGCATAGCGAATATTAAAATATCATATGTCAAACAATCATTAACAACACCGACGGCTTTGGTTCTTCGGTTTAATTAATATAAACTAAAGATACATCATTATAAAGCCATAAATTTCTCTACCTTATTGCAGTGCAAGCTTTGTCTTTCTTATCTCTAACATACTTCGGAATGTAGCTCTCTGCGCCAAAATTTCTAGACCTTTCTAGCGAGGCTTCTGCTTGTGTTGTTGATGGCGCTCACTTTGCCGTTCAGTAGCTCGTCAACAGAATTTGTCCGTGAAGCATCGATATTCTTCTCAAGCTCCGTATACAAACGTTGTAGAGATTCTAAATCGTTTGCCGCAATCGCAAACTGAATATTGTCGAAAATGTTTCCAGATATCGCTGGCAGAGATCGCTCGTAAAAATATAATAGTAAAATTTCTCACATGCCAGACGTTCGAAATAGTAAACATTCAGGAGGTATAAAACACCAAATGCCGTGTTGACGAATACCCCACGCTGCGAATCCGTCGAAAATATAAGCCAATGACAGTGCAGAATATTTTTAAATGGTTCAATCGGAAGACTCATACAGAGCCCCTGAATCTGCAAATCCGTCAGGCCTCCCCACAGATCCGTCGCAAATGGCTGTAACCATGGAAATGAGCGCGTCAGCCAATCAGATAGTCGGATTCAACCCCCGAATCCGTCAACATTCATGCGTAAGACCGCTGTTCGTGACTGACTAACATTACTTTGCCGAAACTCTGCCGCAGCATGAAACGTATAACTGGACTACGATTCAAAATTTTAATGACTCGATCTACTGGCCGCTATAGATAGCTGGAGTCGAATTTTTTTAATTAAGTAGGCAATTTTTACTTCAGTCGCGCGACTGACTTGACGACCCCTAGATCCGCCCCTGCTGGACAAAGGACTATTCTTCAAACTATCCGTAAAACTATAAACAAGAACCTCACGGCATTCAAGTTCATCACACGGTAATCCCCCCGGAATCAAGATTAAAGGCTGTTTTGACACACAATGAACAAACACAAGCTCATGTCCACCCAAAAACGAAGCTTTCTTTCCACAAATAGTGCAAAAATTCACCATTTTACAATTTTTTTCTATAAAATCTTTTCTGAATCTCTCGAAACCTCGAGGTGTAAACACAACAAAAGCCGACCGAACAATGACGGCGCAGAGCGAGAAATCAATAATATGTAATAAATCGCGCCTGACCGCGTTGCATGCCGGTATAGTGCTCACTCCTCCTCTGGTTTAAGTCTTTGACTATTCAAATTGGCCAAATACGCCGCGGAAGCTGATTAACTAATGGAATTTGAGTAATTAACGTTGTTTTATGAATAAATAATGATGTACAATGCATAAAACCCTAGTTTACAGGTTGTAACTGCTCTTTCTGTGCTGATCGCCAAGACAGAGAAAGTGCAAGATAAAGAAATTAGGACCGGAAAAGGGGGCGGGGGGGGGCGAGAAGGAGGGGGCTGCGTCAGGGTGTTGTTTACTCTTGTGTGTTGTAAAAACGCCCACCCTCCCACCCTTCTGTTTCCCATCCTTGTGGCTTTCTGCTGCGGATCCATTTCCGTGTTTCATTTGGAAACAATGGACCTTCCTTTTCCCCAATGCTTAATCAGTGATCCGTGGCGGAATGGCCATTTGGATATTTTACTATTCTTTTTTTCTAAAAAATCACCTATTTGCACGCTTAATTAATTCCTTTACCTAATATGCATATCGCTTCATAATTACATTATAAACTAGAGGGACTCAGAGACTGCATACCTCCGCCCGCTACTCGGAAGTGAAATGCAACCTTGGAATTTCCTAAGAAATCCACTTGGCAATTCTTAAGCATAAAAGATTTTAGGCCCCCGCGATTTGAAATCGAATTGCTAACAGATCATATTACTGTTGTTGTACTGTACTTGCAAAATTAAACTGATTAAGTGTCATTAAACAGTTTCTTTATGCATAAAATTTCCCTAAGTCAAGCTTTGATGCACTTGTGGGTTCAGCAGAGTGCTGAGGCATTCAAATTCTAACAACGCGTTAATTTCAATGCTTTGGGGTTTTTTTTGCGACATCCTTTATAGGCGAATATATGTCAATAAGTATATCGAATCATGCGAATAGAGTGCTCGGTACGAATTAAAGTAGAGCAAAGACAAACTTGAGTTAGCTACTTCGTTTAAAACATTTACTCACGACAAATTTGTTTCGTATGGCAAACTAGGATTGGCACACACATGAATGGTGATATCGCGTGTTTACATGATGTTTATAACCTATAGGTAACTTGAGCTATTATAAATTTACTTGCATGTGCTGCATGGTTTTGATATTATTGCTTTCCTGTGACGAATCTATAAGTTCATTGAATTGCAAAGACCTAGACTGCGAGCGGTCCCTCCTTTCCGCGGGTTTTAGATTTCCGGGCAAACGAAAGGAAAGGAGGGACTGCAGACAACACATCAAGAAATGAAATCCGCGTTGCCCACACAACGCAAAATTCCCATTGGTCGAAATCGATACGCCTGTCAATCAAATCTGATATGTAGTAATTATGCTATAAATAATTTCCAGACCGACCGAATGTTGGTTTTATACAGGGTGTGTCAAAATAAAGGTAATCGAACTTTAGCGCGCTATTGTGTCTGAATTACTGCGTATGAACGAAATTTTTGCATATTCGGAAAGATAAGGCTTTTAGCTGTTGAATGATATGTTCTTCATGCCAAATGGATAAGTAAGTACGCGAGTAAAATAAGTAAGTACGAGTCCGATAAAGAATGCTAGTCAGAATCGCATATTTTCACCGTTGTATTCGGTACTTTATATTAAGTTGATGAATTTCACTTCAGTAAACTATACGCACATATTCATAATTATTATTAAGTAGGAATAAATTTTATCTAAAGCCTGGCGCACACGATGCGATTTTAGTCGGCCGATAAAAATCGTTTGACATACCGATATACATCGGTATACTCCGCACACGATTACGAAAAAAATACGCTCCCTGAACTGTAGCCGCCATGTTGCCAAATAAATACAAGCACGTGATCACAGCATGGAATCTGATTGGTTGTACTTAAAATTCCACCGATAAAAATCGTATAATATCAAAACGTTTTGATGTTGTCCGATTAAAATCGAGCAACAAAAATCAGTTAAAAATGACACCGCACACACAACGATTTTGTTAGTTTTAGTCAAACCATTTTTATTGGCCGACTAAAATCGCATCGTGTGCCCAGGCTTAAGCTACGACAAGTTCGTGATTTATAATTGCCTTTTCTCTTTTGTTATGCACTGCTTTAATTAGGCACAGAGTCAGAGATAAAATATTCTATTCTGACTAACATTTTTTATCGGTCTCGTACTTGCTTATTTTTTCTCCACTTGGCATGAAAAAAATGCCATTCAACAGCTAAAAGCCTGATCGTTCCGAATATGAAAAAAATGTGTTCATACGCCGAGTAATTCACGTACAATACGCGCTGAAGGTCGATTACCTTTTTTGATACACTTTGTAAATAAACTTGACATTGACGGTTATATTTATGCAAAAGCGGAGCCAACTTGACATAAGGAAAAGTGGGAATATTTCGTTTCTTGATGTGTTGTCGGCGGTCCCCCCTTTCTCCGAGGGACTACTTGCGGTCTCATCCTCGTTCCCAGGGCTTCTCGGCTGCCTGCGTTGCCGTAAGCCCTGGGACAAGCCAAAGCAGAAGTGATTTGATTGGTCGTTGGAAATAGAGTGAAGTATGAAAAGTTTATTCATCAAGTGGATGTTTATATTCGGCAATATGGCTGCCTTCAAGGAGTGCGCGTTCGAAATACGAAGAAATACAAACGTATAATGCTTGTTTTCTATGGATTAATGGAGATAATTTGCAAACAGAAAGAAAGAAAATAACAAAATGGACAATTATAAAGTAGAAGTAAGCAACAATATCGAAGAAACGTCAATTATGAAGCCATTAAAAAGTTTCTTCATTTTAACATTTTCTTGTTATAAAGTTGCCTATTATTAAAACATTGTGCTCAAGTATAATTGTAAAATTTTACGCACACTGTAAATATAAAATGTTTAATAATATATATTTACGATAGTAAAGTTTTAATGGTGTAATATATTGTGTTTTATTAATTATTATGCTTTTGGTATTGGTCACTTGGCCTATTAATATACCCGCCTATATTTTAAAATGGCCCTATATTAAAATGGCCAATTGGAATTTTTAAATATAGCATATAGAATATTATAGGTGTATTTACTATTTCTGAATTTTCTCAGTTGTATTATTAGTGAGTAATTTTAATAGCTTTTAATTAAATACAGTGAATAAGCTTATAAGCATATTCAATTTCACCAGTCATTTGAATCCCTGCACCTTTGGCATACCAGAGGGGAATGCAAGGACAATCGCCTCTTATTCACTGGTCGGCTAGGAAAGGCTTTTACAGAACAGTAAAGGAATGGTTTGGGAAATTTCAAATAAAAATTCCAATTGAATACCTGGGGATGATAGGACCGAAGAAATTTACCTTGCCATTTTTTCCTGGCTGCAGGGGACTTCACTGAATTTCACACACCAAATTAAGTGAATGGCCCTGGTATGCCCGAGGTGGGGGTCTCAAATTCTTGTGTCATATTGGAAGAGATCATGAATTTACACTGTTTCCTGTCAACAGTTCAGAATAGAATGCTTATTCTGTTGACTTATTGCAAATCTTGTAAGAATTGAAATTATAAAATAAACTATTATTATTGACAAAACTGAAAATCTGTATATGTATATGCAGGCTTCTAGCCAGGAGACATCCTACCATGTCTGTATAAAAATTGATTTTAAACAAACCATTACAAAAATGACATATATTGAACTGGAAAACTTTTCATATTTTTAATGTGGAAATGTGTAGTAATTTTTACCCCACCTCCCTTACCATCACTCGGGTATACATCTTGTTGTGGTGGAGATTTAGATTGAACACCTGGATAGATACTAGAAAACGCTTAGTCACACGTCTGGATAATGGGAGGGGAGGGGGGGGGCAATTAACTCCCTGATGTGAAATTGTAAGAAATTTAAAAATTGACCAGTGATAACTTGACATTATGTAAGGGAGTCAAATTTGCTAACACTACCCTCCAATCATTGGCTATCCCATTTGGCCTCAAATGATTTGGCCCCTATCTGAAACAGAGTGTGCACTTGCATGTAGAAAATATATTGGAATGCAGAAAATATTGTTCTACTTTAATCTGAACACAAAAATTTCCCTGAAACAATTAACATACATTGGGCCATACAGTCATCAAGTCATGCACATAGTTTTGACTGTCAAATGTATAAAGCAGCATAGTGAGTTGCATTCATGGCCAAAGACATATTAGGTTAATTATTTTACATAATTATTTTTCGTCATTTGCCACGCATGTAATCGGTGAAGGATTCAGGATTATCCGATGCTATATAAAACGGTGTTCAATATTCATACTACATGATGGGCATATGGCCAAACAAACACCTTGTGCTTTTTTGCTCAAATTTACGCACGCATGATTTTGTGTACATAATATAGATTTAAATCTAGCAATTCAAATCCAAAACTCATGGGGTCATGCATGACATCTATCTATAATGTATATTTTCTTGAAATGTTAGGTGATTCATTGTTATTGCCGTTGTTGTAACCCAGTAAACAGACACACGCCGCCGTTTAGACATGTCATATGTCGTTCTTGTTCCTTTTATATACATACGATAGACGATAAAGATTCGAATTACTTCTCTTTAATTTCCAGTCCGGCTTTG